TCTCGGCTTCACATAAACCTACAAAAAGTATTTCAGCGTTATTAAATCGTACGATATTGAAGGCCACACCACAGACCCACGTCGCAAACTAATGCAGGCACCAAAAACTTCCATCAAGAAATTGATTTTTTCTTCACTTCAAATGCTATTATTTTGTTTTATGATTTTATCCATTAAAAAAAAAAGTGACCTTCAGCGCTGAACAAAATTTCCTTGTGAAAATCGGAATTTTTGGTCATCTCCTGTTGGCGGCCCCATTGACCGAACGTACGACGCAGTTGTCGGTTGTAGAGCTTCAATTCTATCGCGAGTTGGATTTAGTGAGCCCAAAAAGATATTTCCTTCCGCAAAAATCTCTGCTCCGCAGCAGCAATAACGTCTTCCACTGGAGTAAACGTGGTGCGAATGCATCATTGAAAACCTTAAGTTTTGAGGAAAACACCCTTTACAAAAATGGATTTTCAATACTAATTTTTCTTACATAAACCTTTAACAAATATCCAAAAAGCATTTACAACATACATATCACACAAATGATGCATACAGAACACAAACATTACAAAATTTTCGAGTTATTTATTTTCCAAATTTATGTGAAATTAAAAAAAAAAAAATAGTTTCAATACTTTTCATATAAATTTCTTGACATATTTATTTCTAATTGTTCGTTAAATGACATTTTTATGTTGAATGCGAAATCTGAAAAAAATCTTTCTCAATGTTTTTTCATGATAATTTGATGTTGAATTCTCGAATTGGATATTTTTACATAAACTTTTTTCATACGTTCCAAAATCGTGTATAAATGTATTCTCTCCATACCCATATATTCCGACAACATAACAAAAAAAATATGTTTTTTTTCTAGGGTTGATGGGAACTCAGTGGTGAGATCAGAATTTGCAGAAAAGTTAATATTAAAATTCTTACAATTTGAATACCTTAGTGTAGGACATAAAATTCAGAAATGAATTAATAAAAAAAATGGATAATTGTTTGATTATGCCACTATCCTCCCATCAGCCAAACCGTGTTTGTGTTCTTCAGAGATCAAAGTTAACGCCGTTTTTCTTAGTGGAAATAGTGAGTTTCACGCGTTTAGTGCTTACATAGTTGGCAAGAAAAACTATTATAATACTTACATACATATGTAGACAAACAAGAAATTCTACGAGTTTCAAATAGTAATCATGCACATGCATACATATATACATAATTATTGAATGTTTGAACTCAGAGCTGTGTTTGAGTTTAGAAAATATCTGCCGCTTGTATTGCCTAGAAATACATATTCACATTGTCCACGTTTACGCCTACTTGTGTGTGATAATAAAGTGCGACTTATCGCCTTTTTTTTTTTGCTCTAATGAACACATGCGAGTGCATTGATTGATTTACTATAATTTGCAAACATTAAAAAAAATGTTATAATACTTTTCTTGATACTAGTTGCCGATTGGAAAAAGAGAACAAAAAAATATAATTAAAAACTTATTCAAAAATTCAAGCAGTTGAGAATATATAAGGTTATCTATTACGGGGTTTCAAAAGTACAGTGCTGCATTTTGACATCAGCCAAACTTAATCGCCAAACCAAACATGTTTTGTTATATTCCAAAGTCAGGCATTTATGAAATTGAATCGCTTAGCAATCGTACAACATTTAAAATTTTTTAAAAGTCACTACAAAAATGGTGATTCAAACGTGGCTACGAGTCGTGCTTTAAGAGTACACACAACTACTTAAGCAATTTCTAAAATAAAAATAAAATTGACGAGACTGTCTCGGTTACAGATATTGTAAGGCCTGTGAATCATCGTTTTGCTAATTCCAACGCGCTACTGTAAGGGAAGGTAGTGTAGCCGAAGATCCGAATGTGTCTATGTATCAACGTTCTCAAGAGCTTTCGTTCGACTTTTCCTGCATCTGTATAAAGCTCAGCTCTCACACAACAGCTGAAGGCAGCTGACTATTCACAACGCCGTGTTTAAACAACAAGCAACAACAGTCATCTTGTCGAACAAAATTTTTTTCTGCGACGAGGCACATCTCTCACTCGAGTATTTAGGTACTACTCGCAAAATTTTTGCATTTGGAGTTCCGTGAATCCGTGAATTGGGTAGAAACTAACTAACAAAAATTAGCGTCTGATGCGCTCTTTGTTCCGGAGGTGTGATTGAACCCTACTTCTTTCAAAACGACAACGGTGGGACGGTCATTGTCACTTCGGAGCGGATCGTAGGATATCCACCTTTTTTTGGCCTGCAATTAAAAATTGAAGAAAACGTCTAGAACAACACGTGGTTTCAACAAGATGTTGCCACATGCCGCGCAATACGAGCGAATTTGACGATAGAAGTTTGCCAGCCACCAAGACGCAGTTAAAGCTTTAACTCTTGAGCACTTGAAAGCCAACATTCGTCAAGTTATAGCCGAGATATCGGCCAGTATTTATAGCCAAAAGGGAATCTAATGAAAAGAATTATGTTAAATGCAGTTTATTTTCGAAACCGCAAAATGGATAACCCTATATAAGTTTTTTTTTTTTTTTGCTTTTTTTTAATTTAGGATCAATTGAAGTTGAACGTTATTTTACTTCAGCTGTCATACTCAAACACCTTTATTAGTTTTGGCTTTCAGATGAGCCCAAAATTGTTGCTATTAATTAAATTTCGATAAACAATAAATTGTTTATTAAAAATTGGCACAAAAAAAAAAAAACGCCGAAAACTGAAACTTAAAAAAAAAAATAATTTTTTCAAAATTTTGTTTTTCGTGTGAAAAAAGTATGATCCTTCTTGTATGCTGCTGTTTCTACGTTTATCACTTGCGTTCAGTAGGTCTCTTCTACTTCTATATGAGGCGCATATAGTCTTTATGCTAACTATAAATCAGCTTTGCTTTCTTTTACGTAACTTGCCTATGAAGTTTTCGTCATTTCATTTCTATGTTCAGTGATCTACAAATTGCTTTCATAAGTTAAAAACGTTACTGCATGTGCTGCTTTCATTTCTGTATTTGTTTAATTATTATCATTATTTATTGTCTTTTTTTCTTTGTAAGTACTCACCTCCCTAGGAGGCTGCATGTTGTAAATGAAGTATTGCTTTATCATTCGTTTTAAGCTTGTAAATAAATATCTATATTAAATGAATCAGCTGTAAATATGTATATGTATTTTTGTGTATTTTGTGTATGTGTTGATTGTATTCTACATTTAGCTCATTTTGCAAACTAGTTTGTTTATAGTTAATGAAATGCTTAATTTAGTTTAGTTTAGTTAATTTTGGGTACACAAAACAACAACAAGGTGCTTTGCTTTTCACATAACAAAATTGAATTGAAATAAAATACACATTGACACTGCCTTTTGCAATCATATATTGTATAAATATGTAAAAAAAATCACACATTGCACTTTGCTTTCATTGAGCTACTCACTAAGCACGCTCACAACAAAAAAAAAAAAAAAAAAAAAAAAAAAAAAAAAAAAAACATCCAGCCGCTGCCAATTATTGCTTTTTGTAGTATCTAAAAATTTAAAATTTATTTAATTTGCTTAAAAAATTTGGTTTTAAAATTTTTATTGAAAATTTCTTTTGAAATATTTTGTATTACTACAAAGAATATTAATAAGGCTTTGGTTTCGCACACACTTTGTTTAATGTTTGCGCACACCTTAGCATCTAGTATATATATACATATGTAAAGATAACCCGCTCTGCAATGCCTGTTACTAATTGAATAACTTTCAATGCAATTAAACACAATACCCTCACAAAAGTAATTGAAAATAAAGCGAAATTTATGTACAAGGCTTGTAAAATTTTCAGGATTTGTACATAAATTTTGTAAAAAATTATAAAAAGAAAGAGTATAATATAACTTTTCATGTGGACAACGTAGTCAGCCGCTGTTCGAAGCTAGGACGAAAATAGTTCAAGAATTTTAGAAATATTATTAAATTATTTTCTTGCAGTAAAAATAATAAAAAAGCGAAAATTAAACAAAAAAGTTATTTTTAAGATTTGAAAAATATTTTAAAATTTATTTCAGTATTTTATTTTCTATTAACAATTATTAAAATATCTTAAAAAATTCACATCGTATTGAAGCGGTTTTTTGAACGATAAATTAAATTAAATTTCAATCGATTCCAAATATTTCAAAGAAATGTTATTGTTAAAGTTGTTATCAAATTTAATTTTATTTCTTTTTTACCCGCAACGAAATGTTGTCGTTAATGTTAAATCGTTAACAGAGAATGTTAAATCGTTAACAGCGAATGTTGAACCGTCAACAGAGAATGTTAAACCGTCAACAGATAATACAAAATCTTTAGCATTTAATGTTAAAGCCTTAGCAGATAATGTTAAATCCTTAACAGATATTTCTAAATGTTAACAGATAATGCTAAAAACTAAAATTCATGTATAATGTTAATAGCACAGTCATTTTAAAATTAACGTTAAGTTTATTTTTGATTGTAACAAAATGAAATAAAATCGTTTAGTGTGTTGAGCATTTTTGGTTCAAAAAAAAAGGAATAATATAAAATTAAAATACATAATTTTATACGCAATTTAAAAAAAAAATAAATAAAATTAATTTTTTATCATAATTTTTAAATATGACATTAATTTTTTTTATAGAAATTTTTAAAATTTAATCAACTAAACAAATTTTGAAATTAATTTTTTTGAAAATTAAAAACTCCTATGAACATAAAATGGAAAATAAATTTAGGTTTAGCAAAAAAAAAAATAATTATATTACCGAACTTCTGTTTAAACTTCAGCAGCAACTGGCTACTGTTGACCACATGTTTACGTAGTAGGTAGTGCTAACAAATCCCACTTTCTTCCCCCCCAAAAAAAACTAATAAACATAAATAATAGATTAACTTTTGCTATAAAATTTGATTTGATGATTGAATTCTAAGATTTTAATTTCTACTTTTTCACCTTCATATTTGAATTCGAAAATAAATGAAATACAGATTGATTTCGATGGCCTATGGTCAAATTGGTATGATCCAAGCTGCTGCCGGTTTCTTCGTGTACTTTGTTATTATGGCTGAAAATGGTTTCCTACCCATGAAACTCTTCGGCATTCGTAAAATGTGGGACTCCAAGGCTGTTAATGATTTAACCGATTCATATGGACAGGAATGGGTGAGTGAGAAGAAGCATATTGATGTATTTACTAAATATAAAATAATGAAAAACGATTTATTTGAAATTAAAAAATATATTTAAAGAATACTCTTTTTTTTTAATTATAAAAAATTCATAAAAAAAGAAAAAGATACGTAAAAATATATTTTTCATTAATTCAAAATTAAAATTACAATATAATGTAGCAAAGAAATAAAATGTCCATTTCAAATTTATGGCATTAAGTATTTTACGATTAAGTATTAATTCTCATATCTGAATAAATCAGGTTATAATATACAGTCCTCCGATTTCTACGATTTTCGGTTACAATGTTTATTTATATATATGTGTGTAGAATAGAAAATTTTATGCTTTTAGATGTTTCTCTAACGAATTTTGGGGTCAAAAATTCAATCGGTTGTGTGAAGACTATATAATATTGTCCCCCAATTTCGACAATTTTCAAATGGCAAATGGCAAATTATTTCCGATTGGAAGGAATAATTAATACATATTTTCATACACGTAGTTGCTTTTTTGACATAACTGAACAAATCGGTGTATAAGAGCTATATATTATAGTAGTCTGATTTTGATATTTTTAGCTCCATTGTGTGCAGAATATATATATTTTTTCATATGCATGCAGTATACCAAATTTTATACCCTTAAAAACTTTTTTAACATATTTATGAGCTAAGAAATCATATTTGAAAAATCGGTCGTGTATGTAGTGTGCTGCAGTTGTGTGAAATATCTCAAAAACTGGGCTTTGCATACAAGCAAAAGGACAGACGGACATGGGTAAATCACCTCAGCTCCACCTTCTGACTCCACGGAGTCTAAATCTTCTGCTTCCGATACTTACATACTTCAGATCAAAATTAATATAATAATTCATATATGTATGTACATATGGACATGAAAATGTAATAAAATATATGTAATTGAATAAAAATGAAAAACAATTAACACTAAAGCTTCAAACGTTTTTTCACACCCTTGTCTTTTTAACATCATATTTAATGATTTTGTATTATTTTTATCCCCCCTCAGACCTACCGCGATCGCAAAACACTCGAGTACACTTGCCACACTGCTTTCTTCGTATCAATTGTTGTGGTACAATGGGCGGATTTGATCATCTGTAAGACACGACGAAACTCCGTCTTCCAGCAGGGCATGCGAAATTGGGCATTGAACTTTGGTTTGGTGTTTGAGACCGTGTTGGCGGCCTTCCTGTCGTACTGCCCCGGCATGGACAAGGGTCTGCGCATGTATCCATTGAAGTGAGTAGCAGCACAACAGAAATAAAAAATAAAGATTATTTTTAAACATTTTTTCCCCCCTTAGATTCGTTTGGTGGTTACCAGCCATTCCATTTATGTTGGCCATTTTCATCTATGATGAAATTCGTCGATTCTATTTGCGTCGCAATCCCGGCGGCTGGTTGGAACAGGAGACGTACTATTAAGCAGCGAAACCAACAGCAGCTGCAGTATGTTCAAATACACAACAAAAACAAAAACAACAACAACAACAGCAACAGCAACAAAATAGCAATGGCATTTGTAATAAATATAGCATGTATTATGATAACAACAAGAACAACAGCAACAAATGCGAAAATATTATATTTGAATTTTACGAAACGAGTGTGAAGGAAAAGGTAGCATAATAAAAACGTGCGCGCAGTAGTGGTCGCGTTGGCGGCATACAATTAATTAGCAACAACAACAATGGCAGCCAACATCAACACAAACAACAATAGCAATACCGAAAATCTCGCTGCAGCGAATATATATAATATATAGAGCTAAAAATAAATGTATAAATAAATTAATGCGACCACCACCATCACCACAACAACAACAACAACAACAGCAACAAGCAGAATTATTTTTTTAATTTTAATTATTTAATAATAAAGAAAAGGATAATTATTTAAACGATTAAGTAAAGTTAAATTATAAATTAAATAATGGTAAAATAATATGAAACAAAAGAAATAAAAAAAACATAATAAAAAGCAAACAAAAAAAGTAAAACGAAAACCCAGCCACACATTACACAATAAAAAAAAATAAATAGCAGTTGTTTTTTGTAAGAAAGCTCTTTAAGAAAGATTAGTAGCTCTTTAGGAAGCACGGAAGGAGGGAAGAAAGGAAGAAGGGAAGGTAAAACTAGGAAATAATAAGACGCACTACAACAAATCGCTTGCAGTACTCATGTGACTATTTATGAGAAATCGGTGTATACAATGGCGTAATCAGAAGGTTCTTTTATATGTAGAAAAGCGAGTAGTGGAGGACTTGTTGTTTGCTCTTAAAGCTTTGCATATATTTCTAGTTATGCCAACTTCTCTAAGAAATTGGCTAACAAGAAAATTTTTTAACATTTGTTAGGCGGAAAGAAAACTTAGTTGAAAACTTTTTCCAAATTTAATTACCAACTTAGAAAAGTATGATATGAAGAGAGAATGAGGTAATTACATAAAAGATAAAAATAAAATATATTGCTAGATAAAAAATAAACTTGAAATAAAAAAATAGACGTGGCATGCAAGTAAGTGTTTATATATATACATACATATATCCTTGATAATAATGCAAGCAAGCAGTATGGGAATAGAAAAAAAAATTAACAAATAAACAAACAAACAAACTTTATTAATGCAATTCACTACCACTAGCAAATTAAATGGAAATCAAATACACCACCTTAGAAGCTACAAAACAAAAAACTTTGCCCCAACCAACCCAACGCTGGTGTAAGAACTTTAAATACATACCTATATGTACTAGATGACAAAGAGTGAGGCGGAAGAGTAAGCAGTAAACGAATTAGATTTTCAAAAAGTATTTTGTTTTTCCTTTAAATACACCATAGTTTGTGTAGAAATCAAGCTACGGCAGGCAGTGTATTATTGTGAGGAAAGTTTAGAAGAAAAAAGAAATATTTATAATATTTAGATAAAGAATTACATATATATACATAGGTGAAGAATACATACAAAACTCACACATCAAAAAACATACACTTAATTGGATAAAAAAAAAATGTTAGTTTAATACGAAGTACAGTTAAAAGCAGAATTTCCAATGTCACTAAGAGAAAGAGGAGAGCAGCGAAAAAATTGGTAGCTCATGTAGGGTCAAAATTAAATGAAAATTTTGTGTAGATAAAACATATAAACTGCCACTGACTGCTCTTGTGTGCGCAGCTGAAACTGCAAGTACACAAAAGTCATACACACACACACAAACACACACGATATACTCATTATTGTGCATATAAAAGTTCGCAAACACTTATACACATACAACATACACCCACATATACACATACATAAAAAATATGCATAAGTATTTCTTAAAAAAAAAAAACAGAAATAACGCTTTTTTGCATTTGTTGTCCGTTTTGCGTACCTAACCTCACTTCACAAAAAACCCCACTCTCCGCCGCCTATGCATTAAACGTTTCACTTGCTCTAGTGGCGAAGTACGGACAGCAACGCGTTTATTGTTGATTGTTGTTTTTGTAATTTTCCCCAAAAAAAAAACCGCAAAAAATTCTCTGCGTTGTTTGTCCTGCTGTAGTTGTCCTAATTTTTAAGTAATAAATTTAATGAAAAACAAAACACACAAAACACATAGCAAAAATGTGTAAACTAAAGAGAAAGGAAAGGAGAAGAGAGAATTAAAAAAAAAATTAAAATAATTAATTTGTTAATCTATTTGCCTTTTTATTGAGAAATTAGAATTTATATTTAAATAAAATAAAAGTGAAAGAGTAGAAAATGTGTGAACAAATAAAAATAAGCAACAAAATGTATGTGTATGTAAATGCAGAGCAAATAAAATTAACAACAAGTTAATATGCGTTTGAGGAATGACAACAAGAAATGTTCAGTAAATAAAATTTCGAAATTGTAGTGCAAGTCTTTTCACGCTCATGAAACGCTTCTCAACAACACTAACAACTGCACGCACGTACGCACGCACGCACACAAACACACAGCGGCCGAAAGAGTGTGAACTTCATGTGTGCCGCCCACAAGCTGTATGTATGTGTATGTGCTTGTAGTAGCTGCAGTATAGGCGTACGTAGGATTTCCTAAAAAAAAACGAATAAAATAAATAAATTAATAATGGAAAAATGAAAAATTAAATAAATTGTATGCATATAAATTAACAGATGCAATGAAAGAAATCATTTGAATATTAAAAATATATTAAACAAATTCAAAAACAAGAAGTAATGCATAATTCACACACTACATACATAACAGCAAGCAGTAAGAGAATATTTCGTAAAGTGTTCATATATAAACAAAAAGAAAAATAACTAAATATAAAAAGAGAAAATAAAAATATAAATAAAAAATAAAAACAAATTTAAGTATTTAAAAATAAATTACAAAAAGAAACCGTAAAATTATAAAAAAAATTTTTTTTGTTTATTTTATTTTAATTTTTCTTAATCTTTTATTGTTTTTTTTTTTGCTAAAAACAATGCATTAATAAAATCGCTATTAGAAGTACATATGCATGTATTGTTTGTGTGGCTAATACTTTCGTTTTAATTAATCGATTAAACAAATTTATTCAGAATAGACATTTAATTGTAGCTGTGTTGAAATTAATATAAGAGTAATTAAACATTAAACAAAAACCATGAAAATGCTACAATAAATTTTTGCCTGTAGCAGACGCATTTTACGCTACAAACGCGGCCGTCATAGCATACTTTTCGGCTGTCAAGCCTTAGGTATGGTTGGTTGCGCGCACTACACGTGTGTGTGTGTGTGTGCGCGCTTTAATGGACTTTCACAACTACTTATGCATGCCGTTGCCGCGTGGTCTTCAAGTTTTCCTTTTCTCCGCGTACATACATACATACATATGTATGTAGGCGTGTATGTGTGCTGCTATGTATTTTTCCAATCGTATCGAATTGTTATTGTATTGAAATGCAAGCAAGCAAAGCAAATAAAATTTGTAATTTATCACTACAATAAAATATTTTTATTAAGACAAACTAAAATGAAAGAAAGAAAGTAAGAAAGAAGATAAGAAAACGACATTACGAATTATAAAATATAATATTTTGGTATAAGCTTTCGTTTTTAGTTATTCTTTTCGTTTATTATATCGCCCTCCGCTGTAAATGTATTTGTAGATTTAATTAAAATTTAAAATTAATACAACAAAAAACAATAAATAAAGCATATAAAAACTAATAAAACACACAAAAAAACAAAAAAAAAATTGTGTTTTTATTTATATGTGAAGGGAAGGAAAAAGGGTGGAAATTAAATATTATTGAAATATTTTTTCACTTTGGATGTGATGTCCAAGTCGCTTCAAGACAAGAAATTATAGAGCTTTGAATAAGATTGCTATTTGACAGCCACCTAAAAACGAAGTCGATCTCAAAAGCAAGCACCTATACAGGCAGGGTATACAAAAGTCATCAACGAAAGGCTTGCAGCACATATTAGGTCAAGTAACAAGTCATACATTATTTGTGCATTCAACTGAAGGCTTTATTTTCCATAGTTAGAATTATCGATTTATGTCAAATATGCACCGTTTTAGTCGATAATTTTTTGCTATTTTGAAGATACTTGTAATGTCATTATGCCTCTCTCCCTGGAATCCTTGTGTCTTTTGGCAAAACATGGGCATGGTTAACTTTCACATGCTACTCTCGAGGCCGATTCTTCGCCATAGACAGAAATAGATGGTAATCACTTGGATTAAAAGGTGAATACTGAAATACTAAGCACACAGCAAGCAAACTCTCGGAACTTTTCGCGAGTCGCTATTGATGCGTGAGGTCTGACGTTGCCCTGAGGAAAAACACAATTCCCCTTCTGTTAGCCTAAGCTTGGGACTTCTGTGTGATGGACGATATAATAGTTTGGCCGCAGTAGAATCGCCCACTATAAGATTCTTTACCGAACAAACCCTTCCTGGCCCTCAATTCTTGCTTGGAGACCGTTTGACTTGCAACATTTATTTCATGTCGGAAACAAACTTGCTAAACTGGACAGGATATATGATCGAAATGGTGAATAAGTAGAATTGGTTTGTTCGAAACGGTATGAAACGCAGAACACCAAATCTGCCGACCGGAAAAAATTTCGATTCTAGTTGAAATTCAAAATACTCTGGTGGGTCTGAATATTCATATGCATAATTTGTGTGCTTTTCTTTCTCAATAACTAATCGGCTCCTTCGATTATAATTACGCTACGTAACTGTTAATCACATTTTTATTTAATTCCCTAATAAATAACAAACACAAGCTTGTGGTACTGACGTCTTAAAAAATCTCTAAGACGTAAAATTATATATTATTTACTTTTCATTTATAAAATGTGTTTCAGACACTCATTATCGACATTTCGGTGCTGCAGTTACTTAGATAATACAAATTGAGTTGTAAGTATTTACCTACATACATATGTACATTTGGAGCAATGTCATTTAGCAATTATTTTTTTTTTTTATTATTTGTTAATCTCTAAGTGGGCGTTTGATAAAATTCATTGAAGTATAAAAAAGTAAAATTGAAACTCGCCAGAATTTCACTTCAGTGAGTACAAACAACAGTCATTATCAGTTTTTATGACAACTTGAGTGTGTGTGTTTTTTTTTATTTACTTAAAATCAACTGCCAACACTTCAAATCATCTTATTTAAAGAACTAGTACCGTCATAAAGTTGATATTGAGGTGTTATATTTAAAAAAAAGATAAAATGTTTGATTTGCTATCTGCACTAATAAATACGCCGCATTATGGCATAATAAGTTAACTTTATATTATATGATAGATGCACTTATCTATCATATATACACACACAAATGTATGTACATTTATATTATTATTTGATTTGTTGATTAAAAATAACACTTTTCGTAGATGAGACCTTGCGATTAAATATCGTGTAGTAAATTACATTTCGAGATCGTCATACCTACATATATTCAACGGCACTCTTGACGTCACTGATAAGTTAAAAAAAAATAGCTTATGACCCTCAAATATTTCTAATAAAGATTAATTTGAGCTAACCTAACAGTTGAGGTGATTTTCAGTTGCCCAACTCTCTCGCGATTATAGGAATAAATAAATAAATAAATTTTTTTAAATTAAATAAATGAATGAACAAAATCTAAGTGAATAAAAAAATATAAATGCCAGTATATAAAGAAGTAAGTAATGGAATAAAAAATATATATATATATATAAAAAAGAAAAAAGTCAATGATTAAATAAAAAAATAAATTAACAATAAATATTTAAAATAATTAATAAAAACAAGAGATAAATAATAAATTATTGAAGCAAAAATATGAGAGAAAGTGAACAAATAAATGAATAAATAAATAACTAAGCAAAAAGATAAAAAAAAATAAACAATTAAAAAGTGTTATTTATATTTCTTTTATTATTTACTTAAATACAAAAAATAAATAAATAATTAAATAAAAAATAAAAAGAGTAAATATAAAAATAATTAAAAAAATAAATTAATAAATAAACAAATTATGTTTAAATGAATAAAACATAAAAAAAATTAAAAAAATATATAAATATGATAAATGATAAATAAATGAAAAAAGTGAATAAAAATATATTAAAAGAAAAAAATAAATGATTAAATAAAGAAATAAATTAAACAATAAATATTTAAAATAATTAATAAAAAACAAAGAGATAAATGATAAATTAACGAGTCGAAAGTATATAAGGAGTGAAGAAATAAATTAATTAATAAATAACTAAGCTAAAAGGTAAAAAAATAAATAATTAAATAGTGTTACTTATTTTTCTTTCATTATTTATTTAAATACAAAAAAAATTTAATAATTAAATGAAAAATAAATAAATATAAAAAGTTAAGCATTTAGTTATTTAAAAAACTAATAAATGAATAAATGAGTAAAAAGTAATAAATTAAAAAAGAAATGTAGAAAGAGACAAATAAATAAAAAATAAAAAGAGTAAATATAAAAATAGTTAAAAAAATAAATTAATAAATAAACAAATTATGTTTAAATGAATAAAACATAAAAAAATTTAAAAAAATATATAAATCAATAAATGATAAATGATAAATAAATGAAAAAATAAGTGAATAAAAATATATTTAGTGAAAAACGCTAATGATGAAATAAACAAATAAATTAACAATAAACTTTTAAAATAATTAATAAAAACAAAGAGATTTATAATAAATTATTGAAGCAAAAATATTTGAGGATGTGAACAAATAAATTAATTAATAAATAAGTAAGCAAAAAGGTAAAAAAAAAATAAATAATTAAATAGTGTTACTTATTTTTCTTTTACTAATTACTTAAATAAAAAAATTAAATTATCAAATAAAAAAAGAATAAATGTAAAAAATAAGGTATCTAGTTATTTAAATAATTAAACAAATAAATGATTCAATGAGTTAAAAGTAATATAATGCAGAAAGTAATATATGTAAAAAAATATACAAATGTAGAAAGAGACAAATAGATAAAGAATAAATTAATAAATAAACAAATTATGATTAATTAAATAAAAAATAAAAAAAATGTGAACATTATATAAATAAATGATAAATGATAAATGAATGAAAAAATAAATGAATAAAAAATATGTAAAGAAATATGCAAGTGCATATATAAATAAAAATAAATTAAATTGTTAATAAATAGATAAACAAATAAAGGGTCAATCGCATAGAAAGTGATAAGATGAAAACATAAAAAAAATAATACATAAAAAAGAAATGAAAAAATAAATGAACAAACAAATAATTAAAGAAATAAAAATATAATTAAATAGGTAAATAAAAAATTATATAATAAAATAAACAAATCTCTAATAAAAAAATAACAATAATTAAATAAGTACATAATAAAAAAAATAAAAAAAAATAAAATAAAAATTAAATTAGTAAAATAATAAATAAATAGAAAAAAATTAAATAAATAAAATTAAAATGTGTGTGTCTTTATCTTTTTCTAGAAAATTACCCATATTTTTTTCTAAACTGCTCGATTCGAGCGAGTTCCGCGGGGCAACACGCCTCAAATTAACAATGAATCTCTGACAGGAGGAATCTATGACATTATGAGGTAGAGGTATTGAGTTATCTACAAGAGTTTCGATGAGTTTTTAGCAGCTTCTACAAAGTTACGTGGGGTGGCATAAGCGAGAGTTTTAAAATGAACAGGATATCCACTTCGATCCACTTCTTATTGGGGTACAAATCGTCGAATTCTACTCGGATAAATATTGAAAGTATGTTCTGAAAGTTCATACAGTAACGAATTGGAATTATTATTAGGAATATTGTTTAAATTAAAATAAATAATTAAAATTGTAAGAGTGGAACTGGTGAAATCTTCTTAGAAAACAAAATAATCTTCGTTGAATTCTGTCATTGCTCATTTGTGTTTTGCAGTTGGTAGGCTGCTTCATAAACTCAGTTACACCCCAAAGTTTTAAGTGATTTACTCCGAAACTCCCTATATATAGTAAGCAATTGGTGCAGATATAGCGCCCTGAATGTAAATCCACCAAAGATCGAAATGTTATTCTTCGCCAGATGGTATAAACTACGTGCTTTTAAGCCGCCCACACTAAGCTCAGCTAGAACCGAAACACGGTTGAAAGGAAAGAGAGCTATGACCGCTAAGTCTGCAAGCGGCAAAAGGTTAAAGATGGGGACTAAGACCGCATATAGTTTATTGGTTATCCAAAGCGGCAAAAAGACCGCAAAATAACTGCTAAGATCAGCATTCACCAGTAAGGCCAATAGCAGATGTGGCATTGTTGCAAAAGGAACTAAATCTCTGCTTCTTCTAAATAGAATCTCCACGAACATAACAACCATCGTAATTATCCATATAACTAGCCAACAGGTCTAAATGCGCTCTATCAAAAGTTAGAGTGATTAAGCAACTTAATCAACTAGCTTAGAGCTGCATTTCCGCATGGATAACCATATTTTAAAGAGTAGATAGCCTCCTAAACATTGCATATAAATACCTATCGAGCGTATTGTGTGAAAGACTAAAGCTCACTGTAGATAAGCTGATCGACCAGATATTAACCATGCGCCAAATCTTGGCAAAGATCTGTGAGACGAGAATAAACACACACCACCTCTTCGTCTCTGCGCCGCTATGTCTGAATTTGGTAACCCCGCAAAACGTATATGGCTGACGCTGGACAACACCAGAACAACAAAAACAACAACAACACGCTTTCGTCCGAATAGATGAAAGCCCGCTGATGGGAGCACAGGAAGAGGAAGACCTCTAATCCGTTAGAAGGATCAGGTGGAAAGTGACCTGGTGAAGATTAGTTGTTTTCAAAAAAGTACCCACTCGCCTCTGTTCGAAGCGCGAATGCTCAATCTGTTAGGCATATTTTATGCCCCTTCGTTTTAATTTCAATCTGAAGTCAATGGAAAGCCCAGGACAATACTTCGATCTGCTTCAGTCGGCTTACAAGTTCGGGGCATACTTTTGCCCGACAAAATACTGTTATCGGTTTACGTCTTTATGTTATTTCTCACGCTAGTAATAGCACTGCTGTTATACTTCTTCTAAAATGAAGCAGGTTGGAGCGGGTTTATCTTCGTAAACTCAGTATATTCTAACCATCGGTGGTCTTTTCGCAATACAAGTGATTGATCGCAGGATTTCGAGATAGGCAGCCGCCTTTTTCTCCGCTGCATTGGATATGTATAACTTTTCATTCTTTAATCAGCTGAACAAAGTACCAAAGATTGAGGTAATGACGTAATTAATGAATTAATCTTACTAATATGTTTGAATGAACTTTCAAATGTTTTTCATTTATTGGCAACCCTAAACAGCTAGTGTATCCTGCATTAGAGTAGAGTACCACTGACCTAATTGAGAGCGATTTGAAAACAACAAACAGAGCGACCAATTTGCTGGTTGAACGAATTTGAGAGCAACAGGAAGAGAGAGAGAGAGTTAGGAAGGGAAGAGCGGTAAAGAGTGAAGTAAATGAATTGCGATTTAATTTTAAAAATTTCATCAGCGTTAAATTTGAAAGGCCATATGCTTGCTAAGCGAAGCTAAGAAGTAAGCTTATATACAAAATCCTTTGACTTAATTTAATTAAACTCGAACTTATCGAATGCTTTCATTCTGTTTCTGTGTCGATGTCATTTGCTATTTCTGGCATTCTCATTTTGTTTATATTATTCGCCCAACTCCAGCCGGTATATTTGTTGTTTGTTTTGAGCACACGCATCGCACGAGAGTCCACTGCAACTTCACAAACTTTCGTGTGAGTTCGTGTAGACAACTCGGCAGGTCCTCCTGCTGTGGCCTACTAAGCCACTGCTGCTTATTCGCACTCTGCATTGTGACTGTAGTGTCAGTCGTGAAAAGCAACTCGTACGCACAAGTTCGGTTGGGATATCTGAAAAGCGCGTGAACTCATTTCCAAATCTGTGCACTGCTAACTTGTTGTATTTGCTAGTGGACTCAAGCAGTTACTACAACAAATATTATTGTGTTAGATAGCGCTTACCAACTAACCAACCAACCAATCGACCAACTATATATGTACATACATACATATTTACTACTACGGCAAACAGCATTGCAGATTTGTGTTGTTGTGGAACGAGTACTGTTAAAGAAGTGTTTTTTTGTTGGTTGTTTGAACTATTTGAAATACGATTGACACCAATTTTTGGAAACTCTTACAGAGATTACTATACAGCAGTGATATTTATTTGATGAAATTTAAATAAGAAGGCAATGAAAGTTGTTTAATTATACATAAAACTTTAAAAAGTAACAGAAATTTTATTTCATTTTGAAGTGAACTAAATTTCACGAGAGCGTAGAAGTTTTTTGAATGTGAAAATTGTCTCTTAACAAATTAACGGTAAATAATCTAATCGTTATTAATTTATGGACCATTTTTATACTTAATTTGTGAACGAAACCATTTCGACTAAAATAGTTAAAAAAAAAATAATAATAATGTAACAGATTCTAAGGAAGGTAAATATAATTCAAAGAGAGAAATAGAAAAAAATAAAGAAATTTTTTTAAATAATCGCATTTATTAATTTCGTAATATAATAATTATTTGAAAAATTGTTAAATGATTATTTGATAAATTTTAATGCATTCATGCATTATTTATGACAATTTAAATAAATTAATATATCAAAGATAGTAATGTGGAAAGAGAAGGAGTATACAAAGTTTAAAAATTCTTAAATTTCAATTTTTAAATTAAATAAAAAAAATAGTAACAAAAATTAAATTAAATTTTATAAAACAAAAAAAATTAATAAATGTAAATTACTGGAGTTTGAAATCGTTAAAATATTAATAGTTTAAAGAATTTTTTAGATATTATTTTTTATGTAATTAAAATTTATGCAAAAAGAAACCTAAAAAAAAAATACTTTAAAAATGAGAAAGAAATAATTTTTAATCAATTGGCAAAAATAAAAGTTTCTTAGAACTTAAAAATTTTCAAAGAAGCCTATATAATAACAACAACAAATTCCAGATACCAATGCATTAATCACTGCAAATTTACTCTGAAATGTCTACTACTCACGCCCATGCATGCACCCATATTTCTAATCAAAAACCACGATTCGCGAAAACTTGAAACTGAAAATAGAGCAGAGTAGCTAAAGTGGTGCTGAAAAATGAAAGTACATAAATTAAACTCAAAGTAGCCGCCCAAAAACCAACGAACGCCCCAAAAAGGCGAACAAAAAATCAAACAAACAAACCAAAAATAGAAAAACAAAAAAAAATAAACAACAACAGCAACTATGCCGTAACCGAGCTGCTGCTGTTACTATCTATCTATATGTAGTATAATATATGTACTTACACACAAACTAATATACATATACAACTCGAGTGCAGATCTTATTTCAGCGTTGCATACATTTGGGCGGTAGCGCGTGTCATCTTCTTTGCTAAACGTAAAAGAAACAAAAATTAAAAAAAAAAAATAAATAAAACACTTCAGAGTGATAACGCAACCGAATTCGTGCGAAAAGCAGAGTGTGCCCAAGCAAAAAAAGTAGTATAAAATAATAGTAGTAGAAAAAGTGGTGTAAAATATTAGCAAAAAAAAAAGAATAACAACAAAAAAGAAGTGGCAAACCACAAAAGCAGTAGAAAAGAGTAGTTAAAAAAAGTATTAGAAAATATTACCGAAAAATTTAACAAAAAAAAAATAAAAAAAAGAAATAACTGCAAAGCAACCAAAGCAGACTTGAAGTTTTAGTGGGGCCGCTTTGTGAAAACGACATGCGGCGTATTTAGTGGTTCTACGCAATGTTTGTTCTTGTTGTTGGCATCTAGTGTGCATTGCACCACGGCCGTATGCATGTGTATGTATGCGTACGTCTTTATGTAGTATCTCGTTCCAGTTTTCCACAGCAGCTGAAGTAACGACCGACCGTCAACCGACCGTGTAAACGAAGGACGAGCCGACCGACCGATGAACTGACACAGACCAGACCGGCTCTGACAGACTCGCATGCGGCGGTCGACGACATTTGAACTGTATATTTTGGGTGCCGTTGCTGCTGCTGCTGTTGTTGCACTTCCTAAAAGTCACACACCCAAAAGCACATACTAAACTAAATGATATGAACACCTATTTACACACACACACACACACACACACAAATGCACACAGGCATATTTTTTGCACACTTTAGAAACGTTTCGTTGAGAACTTGGCGTTTTTCTAGTTTTTCCTTTTTTTACCAAAATTCTACGATGGCATTTCGTAGTTTCTATTCTGCTGTTGTTGTTGTACTTGGTATTCTATATTGCAGCCGTAACATTACCGCTTCTTCAGCTACTGTCAATGCAGCCTCTCTCTTTGCTATTTTGGCATACTTAACTTTGCGGCAGAAAAGCAGCCACAAACGTTTCACGTTGCACATTGGATATTGCACGTAGTACTGTAAGCTGCTATACACGTATGTATGAGCGTGTGTGTTTGTGTGTTGGCTGAGTTCGACATGGACTCTGTCCGTTGGCACAGTTCCATTACTCCAACCCTAGAGACCGCAGGTCACAGACACGAACTCTTTATCTGCTTGCATTGCATAAATGTGTTGTGACATATCCAAAATCGCTTAAAATAGCTGCTCGCTAAATATAAAGTGTGTTGCACTGTGGGCCGGAGATGATGTCAGATAACGGTAAATGTGCGAAAATTCGTACGTAACCGGGAAATCATCCGAGCGGAATAAAATACGGGCAATCTTTTAACGAGAGCTGTTAGCTGTGCAAATATTCAATTGTTCAGGTGGAGTAGTCCAATCTGGTTCTCTACGCTGTCTACTAATTGAGCTGCACTGTTGAACTGAACCACAATACATACATAGCAATATGGAAAAGTTGGAAATTTCGTCTTAAATACGTTGGGAAGACCTCAAAATGGAGAACGTGTAAGCTGGAGCCTATATTTAAGTTTTGTAATTTGGGTTCCCACTGACCGATGAGTCTATTTAACTAAATTATTAATTGGATTAGAGGCATGTACTTCATTGCTGGAGAGAAGGTTGGATTTTCTTTCTCACACAAATTCGACTCTTAAGAGAAGAAGATTACTCAAACGCATCAGAGAGTGAGCTATTTGCAGTCGTCAAACAAATAGACAATATATAAAAAATCGCGTCTGGGCACTCACCTCACTGTTGGCTCTCTCAGTGATCTCGTCTTCGCAGAACGGCTAACCACGAAAGGGAAAATAGTAGACAAATACCAATGACATAATGTAATGAATTATAAGACAGTAGCATCACCGAAGAGACGATGCCATCTGTATGTACGCTCGTATTAGCAGAGGAAAATCAGGCTTCCACCCCTCGAATAGCATTCAATAGAAGGAATGGTAGTTATTCTAAGCTTGACCATAATCGCCTAGGCACTGTTGTCTCAATAAATGGAGAGACCTACAGTATATTTTAGGCCACTTCCAAACGGCTGATGCGTTTTTGTTTTTGCATGTTGATCGGGCCAGGCGTGCATTGGTCGGCTGGTTTGTGTACATTTATTTTTTCCACTTAGAACTAAGACTGGATTTATGTACCAGATGTCAGTTAGCTAAGTTATTTAATCGTCATCTTCTTGTTTATTGGCAAAGATACCGGGTACGCCGTTAAAAGCAAGAAATTATCTGTTTATTTTTTTTAGCCGTTTGGGCCACTTGCAGACAACAACAGAGGCAAGGTGCTTCTTCATGTGATATTTTCAACGGAGTGAAGATCTTCCTCTTCCACTGCTTTCATCGGCCGGTGCTGCACCGAAAACTTTCCATGTGGTCGGTATCTGTATCTTTATTCTCTGAACTATGACAATATCAGCGTATATGGTCACATAGTATACAGTATTTGGTGCTGTCAATGTAGTTTCTTTCGAAAACAACTCATGGGACCTCACTACTGTTAAGCGACTTGTATACCTTGGTTTTAATTCGTCGAGAGATGACCTACTCAATAGCCTTTGCTGCCTGAATTTTAACACCAACATTATTGGTGGTGTTTTAGACTGATTCCAGATTGACGAAATTATCTTCGACGTCAAAGTTGTGACTATGGCAATGACATGGCAGCCAAAGAAGCAATGCGCTGACTGTTTGATGACGGGAGATATTTCGTCTTGCTCTCGTTCACTACTAGACCCATTCGCATCGTTTCTTTATCAAGCTTAGAGGAACCAATATTTTTTAATCATAACCTAAAATTGTTTTGCCTTTAAGCTATTAACAAGCTCCAAACAAAATAGAATAAAGCACATCCGAACAGTTGTCAGTACTTCCGACAGCGCCATTGATGATTGCACCACCAGGTACGAGGCAATGCACTCAATTGACCGACCAAGCCTGACCGAGTGAGCAACCAACCTGGTCGACGTTGTTTGGCAAGCGTTCAACCGCGATAAGCGCATATGAAGACAGCAGACAAAGAATGCCAACGGGCCATGTTTGGAGAGCAAGATGGCAAATCAAAAAAAGACAAATAAATTGAAAACTTTTCTATGGGGAAACCAAAATAAGCCACAAACAGTTGCAGTGGCAACCGCACTGAAATTCGCATAAATAAATAAAAGCAACGCGAAAAGATATACAATTTTATCAAAAACCGAATGGACTGCGACAACAAAAACAACAACAACAACACGACGCTTTAGAGCTGCATGGCTGAGTAAACGAGCGCTGGAAGAAGAACGCATATTTACTGTATACAAAAGCCGAAAATAAAGCTTTAAGTGCACATTAAACATAGGCAAAAAGGTACTCGGCAACAACAAAAAGGCATAAATCCCGCAACGATGACAACAACGAGTGTTTAACGACAACCAACGCTGACGTGGGCCAACAATGCAGCATATTTTGCATAAAGATGATAAAAATGAAGTGCGAACGGATGTAGTGCAACGAGAACAAAAACAAAAACAGCAACAACAATAACTACAAAAACAACAACAGCACCTAAAAAGCCAAAACTGTGAGAGGCTGTCATAAAAAAAAAAATAAAAAAAAAATTAGCAAAAACTACTAAAACAACAACAGCACTGGTAAAGCTTAAACGAAAGCCTTCTTATCACAGATAGCGCAGCTTGTGCAGCATTTTTGCTCTTGGCAGCTTCATTCCCACGTACATACGCACACATAGGTGTATGTACGTACATACATATGAAACACTACATACCGCATACAAATACAGCATTTTTGTTGTAATCTCTGCTTTTATACTTCCTTCCTGTCACTGGCTGTGGTAATTTAATAGCCAAGGTGTCAAAGGTGCCCACCGTAATCGGTCGAGTTGAATTGGCACAAGTGCTGGCATCTCTGGCGTCATTGGCACCAACAAGGCTGCTGCTGCTGATGCTGTTGTTGCTCCCCTGCTGCCATTAACCTGCTTTTAAACGCAGCTGATGCTGCTGCAGTTCACTTTTTATTAACTCTTTTATACCGCTCACGAACATGAAGTTGGACTTAACGGTCTACGCTTCTAAGTAACAGAAAGAGTGGATCTGTGGCTGGGCTGGAATGAGGTTGAAAACGGAAGATGTAACTGGAACTCCAGCTGCTTCTTTTAAACTGCTGGGATAGGCTTATTGTGCTCTATTGGATAACCCAAATACGATTTTTCACAAAGCTTGCTGTATTTGACATTTTTTTTTATTTTCTTCAGCTTATGAGTACCCACTTCCTTAAGACTGAGGCTTGGAGCATCGTGATGATGTTCAAGTATGTAGAAGACCAAGCTTTCCAGGATTTCATCCTCTACGATCAACTCCTTCTACGCTTCCACAATAATACTAAATTCACTCTCTCTTATTGCAAGAAGCAACCTAGATTAATAACTATCTACCCTGCGCCATAGTAACTTGGTGGTACGCCCTTCGTGAGATGATTCTAAGTTTCTCAAGGTTCTAGGAATTAATTTCGACCCAAACTTCGTTATGTAGCAGGTCATAAAAAGAATCTGCTAGTGTACCCAAATCGCATAGGAACAAGCACATATACAAATACCTTCGGCTAATTTTTCGCACTCGAAAGGTGTTGGCACTTAGTAGTAGCTCAAGTTCTTCAAAAACTTTCTGTTTGCCGTCAATGGCTTGATATGGACTGTAATTTCACTGCAAATAAAGAAAGGTTGAGTTGAGTTGACTGAATACGGCTATGGGTCAGCTACGGATACATTTGTACTTACTTATACGCCCATAGTGATGGCTGTGAGGCTCCTAGCAGCTTCTCAACTCTGCAAACCATTTAGTGTGTCTTATAAGCCGAAATAGCCGAGTGATTACCGTTGCGTACTGACATGCGTGAGGCCAGGATTCCAGTGCTGTCCAAACATTGAAAATTATAGAAAACTACTTTTTTCTAATTACGGTCTCCCGTTTTCCTATAATAACACCTTATATTGTGTTCCTATTGAGCTCCTCCTCCTCATAAAAATTGTAGGTTCCTCCGTTTTTTGGAAGAAATATCAAGACCCTTTCCTCAAAATGGAGTAGAAGCTCGGTCGAAAATAGTTGCAACGGATACAAAGTCTGGCTAAAGCTATTAGATTGCTAAAGCTAGCTCAGGGAGAAAACAAAAAATGTATTTCCAAGAAACTTGTGTCGCATGGTTATTAAGGCCGGAGAGCGACAATGGTAATATTTAATAGACTCTTACTCTTGTTCGACCATACAATAGCAGCCAAAATCATTAGAGCTGTTACCCATTCTCTTGCTGTGAAGCCTGTGGTATTTTAGCCGTCGGTATACAGAACCGGCTTAGATAGACTAAATTCTTTAAATATTTTGCGTCCAAGATAGGCTGCCTGAGCATGATGTTACGTGTATTTTCATTCAGACCACTGTCAGGTTTTTGTGATTAAAATGGTCCTCCTCTCACTAGCTTGTCCGCCGTGCCGCTCTTTGGGATATCTTTTTGTCCTCGCAAGCAGTTTTTGGCTTTATTGCGTTTGTTCTAAGGTCCGTTTTGAGCAGCTCTACATTTTGACACTACTTTCGAGAGCTCTTTTCAGAGCTGTTTGAATATATCGTAATTAGTGCCCAGTGCCCAGTGAACGTGAAAAAGTTCTGTTTGAGCGTCGCCGCAATGGTTTGGTAGACCAGATGTTGATTCCGGCAAATATTATAGGGAATTGGGTTTTTTCGTACCGTATCTGGACTTATTGTCTTAAGTGACTAAGGAAGAGTTAGAGCCCGTCTTATATATGAAAGAAGACAACTTGGCTTTTAGTATCCAGAAATCTTAAATTCAGTCACAACTTCACCCAAAATTCTGATTTAAAAAGTAATTTAAATTATAAACAATTCTTGAAAGGCATAAATTCGGCGTATAGCAGCTTCCATTTCCGTTAAGTCACAGACGATTTTCTCAAAATATATATATATATGTATACATACATATTTGTATTACATTTGTATTTTCAGTGGATTTTCGCATAATTTCACTCAATTCTAATATCTTTTATTTTTATTACATTTTATTCTCGCTTTTGTTCTATTTTTTGTTTTTTTTTTATTTTTGAAAATTTTATATTTTTTATTAGCTTTTGCTTTATATCATATTTCGCTTTCTAGTTTTACTACATCCAACACTACTACACTCGTATGTTGTTATCTACTTTTTTCGCCATTTTTATGCATGTAAACGACATTTCACGGAAACTGTGTCAGCTGCAGCAATAACAGCAACAAGAACAAATGAACAACAACCAGCACACACTGTCATAACAGTGTTCAAATATATGTATATATGTATGTGCAAACATATATATATTTAAATATGTCCAGTTGTTTGTGTTGTACTCTCTAAGTGGAGCACAGTGTACTAAAGTATGCTCTGTCAGTGGGGAGTCTGCCAACAGACTTCATAATCAGCAGCATCATCACCGATTGCATACATACATATAACGCAAACGACAACACCAACAAGCGACAAAAGCCGGCCGGCCAGTTTTCAAGCTTGTAGTTGAACACAGTGGCCGAACTTAAGCGCAATTCGTCTGCAATTCTTGTGCAGCTCGCCTTTCTCTAATCTCTCTCCACATCTATCTCTCTGTCCCGTCTCTCTATCTCTTGCTGCCGCGCACACCGGCTCTACGTTTCCTGCACTGGTTCTGCCTGCACTTGCTTGCGTTGGCAAGGGTCATCGCAGGCCTGCACTAACGACCCTTCAACATCAGCAAAGTTGTACGCCTCCAGAGCAGTCAGCCAGTGGGTTTGTGGGTAAGTAAGACTCGTTTAAATTATGAATTCTTTATTGCATAAGAACCGCAATCTCTGTTTTGTGCTAAATATACTGCCGCATTGCAAATTGTTAAAATGGAAATTGTGATTTGTTTGAGGGAAATTGAGTTGAAATTTCTTCAGAAGTTTGCTAATTGTAAGACCTTTGATTGGGTGGTTAATATTTTATTGTAACAAGAATTTTTGGTCCAATTGTATTTAAATCTTAAATGAGTGTGCTAAATATATATTATATATAGATACATACGCAGACAGAGCTCTTCAAAATTTCTACAGACAGTTCTAAAATGAACTAAGGAGTGGTGGCTGCTGCTTACTGCCCCCTATTATAGATAAGAAAGTTATGTAAGCTTACACACCATTGCAGTTTACACCAATACGCCGCCGAATGGTCGATGGTTTTTATGGAGAGCTTTGATTTTCCTTTCTGAAGTATACTCGGAGGTGTTGACATTCGCTGCCGAGGAAAGACCGCAATTAGAAAAATTTATTTTTTATAATTCTCGGAAGTTAGTCGGACCAGGACTTGAGTCCTGGATTTCCGAATGGCAGTACGCTCTGCTAAGTACTCCACTTTAGCGGCCGAGAGAGAAGCAATCTTGCTTTGCCATGCGAATCTTCAGAATTGACTTGCACAGTTTTTCCTAGCAGTAAAGAGGTCGGATTCTAGGCTACTGAGACTGAAAACAGCGCATGCTTTTAAAATTGGTATGATGGGAGCAATTAGTGACAGACAAAGGCTATGCTTTTTTTAGAACAGAAAGGCTACAGGACCTTCAATCGGTAATGAAAAAGGTACCAAATTGACTACACCAATTTGTAAAAAGAGCAGAAAACTTCTTTAAATTGAATCTGGTCATAAGTAGTGTGTCTGGTTGCACTATGATCATGATGATCGCTGGATCAGCATAGGTATGCATATAGTTTCAGAAGGGGGATCTAAAAAATAAATAAAAAATTCTCTAATATCTAAAGGTACGGCAGTTGAAAAGTTTTCTATACTCCAAGTATTCTACAGTCCCGAAAATGATTCATCTATTGTAGTTCTAACCTAAAAAAGAAACTTTCTCGAAATCATTGTGCGTCTTGAAGTAAGAATATTTAAAGTTTTCAATTCGATTTCAATTTCAATCAGGCCACATGCAGTTGTGCTGTTGTTGTTGTTGTTGGAGCCGCAAAAATATTCCTCAAAATAAACTTTAAGGAATGTTGCGGGAGTGACAGTCCTTTCCCGTGTAAAAAAATTCCGTTTGTTCCGGCATAAAAACCCGACTGTCACGGTAAGTAGTGGATTTTAGTTCCCTCTTACGACAAGCACACCTAACCGCGGATAAATTCTTGAACCCGTAACACGCAGGCTGGGTTGTGTGCTCAACTACGGTGGTGAGAGTGGCATAAAAGCTGTCATGTAACAGTTGCAAGGAAACCTCTCTGTTCACGTAACGGGCGTAAATCCTTGTTTAGGATTTGACCATTTGGCCACTGCCATTTGAGTGGCAGGCAATTCTTAAGTGGTCAGTGAATTTATACGGATGGAGGGCTTATTATTTGCAATAGAAATCATCAGTTTTAGGTCCACATAAGCCATCTGATCTTTATGCTTTTTACTCCCTTAACCCTCTTGCATGATTTGCGATTTACGGTTGCACAGCGTAAGATGACTCAAATGGTATTCGTTAAAGAATTTTTTAAATGCATTAACATTTTTGTTAGTGCTCAAATAAATTCTGCGTTCTCACCTACACGCTTAAACATCGAACCGAATAACGACGTATGTGGGTGTCTAAACGGTTAAGCTGTCTAGGAGGGAGAACTTAAGGCTCTAGTTAATTGCTTCATGTCGTTGGAGTATTTTGCATTTTGGTATATATGTCTGTATGTATTTAGGTCTATGCTAGTAAATAATTCTTAGTGCCGATTGCAAGCAATGGAATTTATTTTCTTTAGGTGCAAAATACGTACTTATTGTAACGGATTTTCTGAAATTCATCACTTAAGCGGGTAAAAAAGGAGTGCGAAGTTTGTAAGAACCATAATTCGTATTTGCCTGTCACTTGGTCCAACTTAAAGAAAATATTAATTTCCTTCCATGTTGTTTGATGGGTGAAATCATGGAAATAAATCGATTTTTGTACATAAAAATATGGGGCTTAAAATTGCACAATGTGGCATAGCGGTTTTTAAATTTTACGAAAAACCTAAAAATTCTAGCAACTAAATTTTAAAGCTCAACCGAGAAAGCTGTTAAATTTTTCCTAGAAACCATTGTTATTACTATAAAGAAATATAAAAAAATATAAATAATAGTGGAATTTAAATCAATCGCATCATAAGATCCTGAGGAAAAAGTTCGTATCTCGATCTTAAGCTTGTAGAATTTCAATAAAAGGGGGATCAAAGTTGCCAGTGAGCTCATAACAAGCTAAATAAATAATATATAAATGTCCAAAATTCACCAGAAATCCAATCCTAAGCCAATTGATAAATTTCAATTAAAATCGCTGCAGCAGTGTGAAAGAGCCTTTATTAGCAAAAGCGAAAGTTACTTTTAGTTGGAATAAAAACCCGTAATTAGACCTTTAATAATTTTTTGCTTCATAATAGCATACAAAAAGGTCCTAATTAACTGCTATACCTTTTTCACATAAACAATAAAAAAAATTATAATTTATCAATAACCGCATGAAATGAAAGAACAAAATATTTTTGTTTGCTTAACTATGCTCTGCGTCTAATCAAATGGACAATATTTATGCAATTAATTTCTACAACATTTGCAGTGATTTACTGGAGCATTAACACTATATTCGCATAAAGGGAAAGGAAATCTATATGAACAAAAGGTTTGTTTCGTGTTAAATAAGACTTCTGCAGCATAGCTTGCTAAATGTTGTTTTTTTACATATCTTGTTTTCGAGATGATATAAAACGCATTTAATTTAAAGTAATGGCAAATAAATAAGTTATTTGTTAAAAAGATAGTGGTTTACTGCGATTAAATTCCAGCCAAGACGCCCAATTATCCACTTCTTTAAGCAGCAGTTGGCGTGGTAAGACAGCGATAACGCCCCGAATATTTGTTCCAAGGCGTCAATCGTCGCTGGCTAATCTGCGTAGATAAGTGACTTCACATAATTTCACGAAAAATACTCCAGCGGGGTTAAATTCATCATGGTTCTATTGATGGCCGGCTTTATTTTGGTGTACATATGAACCAATGACTCCCTCTCTCCATAGTTCACACCAAACAGTGACTTTTTGAGAATGTACCGTCATCTCAACAATGGCATGTAGATTAACATCACTCCAAATGCGACAATTTTGTTAATTCCCTTACTAATTCAACCAAAACTGAACTTCTGAAACCTGTAAAAACCGGGACCGATGGCCATTCCGTTTTGAACCCAGTCATCGAATGAGCGACGAAATGGATTTTGTGAGTCGGCAAGCCAAGATCCTTCTCCACAATCTTCCATAAAGTGGACTGGATTGCATTGAAACCATTTGAAGCAATTTCCGGCCGAGCACTTTGAAGTTTTGCGTCTTGATTTTTTGCGACCGCAATTAGAAAATTTGATTTCATTTTTATTTAAATTAATTTATTATAACTTTTAGGACGTTGGTTATACCAGGGTTTTAACCCGGGCCTTCCGAATGGCAATGCGTAATGCTAACGACTCCGTTACCGCCAGTAACATATACAGGGTCCGCCACGTAACTTTTTTTTTTTAAATGCAATAAAACAAATGCCCATTCGGCAAAGGCAAACCGCATCGGATGGTCTCGTGGCTTCAATTCTTGAACCAATTGAACTTTGTACGGTGTCATACCAAGGTCTTTTTTCAAAATTCGCCTAAGGGGCGTCTCGGAAACGTCCAATTGTTGAGAGAGCGACGCTTCACTGATGTTCCGGGTTCCTCACGCACACTCTCGGCCACAGCAGCGATATTACCGGCAGTACGCACTTTTTTTGGGTTCTCACGCGTTGGTTTATCAATAATTGTGCCGGTTTCTCTCAATTTTTTCAAAAGAAAGCGCACATACGGAGCGGACGGTGCTTTGTTACGGCTCATTTCCGTTCCATTTTAACGCGTTCCTCAATCGTAAACACAACCATTTTCGTTCAGCGGAAGGATAAAACTAACTTTCTGTCAAATCAGATGTAACATCAGTGTTACCACACTCAAAATAACCACTAGTTCAAAAAAAAAAAATGTTAGATGGCGGACCCTTACATAGATGTATATAATATATATTTTGAAATAATCACATATTTTATGTTTCAGAATTTTCTTGATTTTATTTCATTTATTGAATTTTTCACAAATTTACATTCGGCGCCTTTAGAAAATTCAAGAAGTTTTTTACACCTTGTACAGTCCACAACACTTTGCTAATGAGTTTTGTGGATTGATGGCGCAAGAATGGTCGCAACGACTCTCAGTAATTTAGTTGACTTATCCGACAGCTTTTGTTCGCTTTCATATTAGAAAACATAGATGAAAATGGCATTATGCAACATTATGAGTTGGTAATGAGAAAAAAAAGAATGGGAGCTAATAATTTTGATAATAAAAGGTTATTATACAAGTTTTGAGATTAGGAATACAAAACAAAATCCATTGCGCAATTTTCCGTATAGAAGCATTTTGAGCCTGCGCAAAAGATTGCATAAATAATTATTCATAAAAACCTTTTTTATGTTAAGAGTAAAGGACTCACAGGTCTACTCGTATTAAAGGTCATGGGCCGTCTTGTTATAGTTGCCTCGCTAACGAACAGCAACGAAGTACTAAAATTCGCTGACGCACCCTGATAATGAATATTTGAAACGACAAAAAATACCTTCCGCTGCAATAACAATATTTAAACAATTAGCGCAGATACGAACTGGATTGAGTGGAGTGTGAATTTTTCAGGTGGTTTTTAGCGAAAACTGGTCAGATTTTACAGATTTTACAATCCGATCATAGTATTGG